ATTATTATCCTTAATAAAGTCAACCCTATGGATTTCTTGCAAAACTGCTGGGAAGTGTAATGAAAACTGGTAAATGAAGCACTTCTTTACATAAAGGGTTGTGTGGAACAAGATGCCAAACCATGCTGCTGTATCTAGTATCTGAATGAGAGACATCTGGATGAGATCTTTGGTCATTTAGCTGTTGAAAACCCCAATAAGCTGGGTTAGTAGAAAGTACCCCTTTTTATTAGTGAATTTATTGATTGATTGATCAATTTGACATTACCTTTGTAGTATACTCACCATTTACAGATTCAGAATGATTAAATGAGTAAGCTTTCAGGTGACACATGGATTATTGGAAGATCAGTGCAAATGGGTGTTACTGGTAAGCACACTTTAGTGATTGAAATCCAGTCCTAGTAGATACAGTACCATATTATGGCCCGTCCCTGGCTGGGACATGGAGCACAGACAGGCAAACACATCTGGTAAACAATAACAGTGGTCATGTGAGCAAGTTTGTCCTTACTCTCAAGAGCATTATCACTGCTGCCACTCTCGCCAAATTGGTTCTGTTGCTCAAATCTTCTCATACTACTTGATAGTATAAAGTAAGTGCCTCCAAGTTTAGAATTCATAACAAAGATATCGCAACTTTAAGGAGACCCAGGCAATAGTAAAGATGTAGCAGTCAGATCTGTGTTTTAGTAATAGGCACATCAGTTTTGAAAAGGTTTGAATCTGAGATTGCTTTGGGCTAACCATATTGTCGGAAATTCAACTGCAAGGAGAAATTTAACTCCCACTTTCTGACTGTGTGTTTTGTGTGTGTTGCATTTGCCAGTCAGACAATCAGATCAGTTAAAAATTCACTAATATAATTGCTAGTGACATGTAGATGTACTGAGCAAAAAAGATGGTCAGAAATTCAGGTCTTAATTCCTCATTTGTGTCCATTTGCTGCAGATTCTGTAACCGAGTGTTTTAGATTATAGATGGGATTCTCTGTCATGGCTAAAAATTATATCTTGGCAAATAAATGATCATATACAGCAGTGAGCTGTTTCCATACACATACTCACTTTAAGTTATGTCTTTCAGGAAACAGTTCTACACATTTATAAATCCTTCAATATAGTGCTGTTTGCTAGGAACAGTACCTTTGCATCTTTATTTCTTTAAAATAAAGGCCATTATGCCTTTATCTTTACCGTACCATGAATAAGTCGAAGTGATTAACTGTACAGTCTGTACAGACACCAGAGAAAATCAACGCTTTTATAAAGTTGTTTTAGGTGCAAGAATGAAAGAGCACTTGAGATTCTCCTGAGAGCAGGAATCTCCATTTGCAAAGTTAGGCATCCATGAATATTAAGTAGTTTTTGCCAGGTTACAACAGAGGGACATGCAGCTACTTTTTAGGGCTCCTCAGAGGAATTAACCTTCTGAGTTCCAATTATCAAATAAAATCTGTTGCCTAATCTTTTCATGATTGGGTTAAATTTTAAGAGACATATTATTGCCCTTCTTTTTTTAAACGTTTGCCTATGTTGTGGCATAATCTTGATATTTTTTCATTGATTGGGTTGAAACATGTATCTTGTATCTGTTGTGCTTCAATGTGTTTGTTACGTGTATTTATGTTTGTGTGAGTTTTTTTTATTATATGCTATGTGTTTTTTATATTCTGTAGTGATGTGCTTGAAACTTATCTTAAAGAAGAAATGCATTCAGGCTTCCTCCTTGTCTATTACAGCAAACAGGAATAAAATCCTTTTGATATTATCTGACCTGCAAAATCATGTTCAATTTATTTTTTTACAGCTGATATTTGAAGTGATAATGTTTTACACAGGTCAGATTCCATTTAGGTAGAGGGAGTTAATATTTTCAGTATACCAAGGCAGCTTGACATTTATAGGACAACACCATGACCAATTATTCTGAGTATTGGAACCATTTTCTCAAGATTACTTGTGTATAGTGCATTTACATGTTCCATGTCTCCCAGTAACACTTACTAGGAGATCAGAGGACCTAATGAGGCCCTATTTGGCTGTATAAAGGTCAGTCCTGGCCCAAGGGAAACAGTAAGCTTGTGGGCTGATTTGATTATTAAATGATACAGATAGGCAATTCCCTGAAGGCTGATATGAAGCAAGCATTTTGGGATTCAAGTTAGAGAAGAGATTTCCACGATAGTTATGTTGTGACAGGCTTGGCCCTTCTGAACTATTCAATTGATGTTTAACCTTTTAGGCTGAAGCTTAATCAGAGCCCTTTTGTGACATATTTAAAGCGTCACCGTACCCTGAAGAGACAGGCTCTGTATCTGATACACTTGAAAGAATTCATCGTGTGTCTTGAGAGCGCAGTCCGAGGATGTGCAGAGATTCAAGGAAAAAGTAAGTTGAGCTCAGGGAAGATTGTAAACCTCAAATTATAACCTCGGAATTAAACTCCTTATTACTGAGTACAATATGAAATGGTTTTTGTTTATGTTAGGTTTAAAGCTCCCCACACCAGAGGTAGAATGGGCAGGTTATCAGCAGCTGTATATCTCAAGATTGCATGGTAGCAGTTCACGCATTAGAACTGATTGTCCTGTTTCTTATTTTTGGGAACTCAAAGGCTCCACATAGTGTTATATATTTTTTTTCAATTAATCAGAGGTACTCCAGTGTTTTTAAATGACAAATTAAGAACGGAACACAAAGTATCATCCTGAAAAGGGAAAAGAGGAAAAGTGAGAAGATTTGTGGACTGAAACCCACAGGAGCAAATACAGGTCATAACAACAATGATGTTAAGGGTCCTACCAAGCTCATGTTTCTGCATCCTTCACAGTAACACTTCATTAAATGGTGCCTTGTTGTTCTTGTCAGGGTGGAGTTGGAAAAACTGGGACGTCGGTAATGCTTTTGTTGGGTAACAGCAGAAGAGTCCCAAGAAAGTGGCACTGAAAGTTGTTAAGGTTGTCTTTGTTGTCTGTGTCTGCCCCCGTGTTGAGTCTAGTTCAACATTGACAAGGAAGCCGGCGAGCGGCAGATCTATCACCGATACTGTATGGAGCGAGCTGCTGTGCACTGCGCCCATGTCTTTACCACTGTGTCGCAGATCACTGCCATTGAAGCTGACCACATGCTCAAGAGGAAACCAGGTGAGG